TTTCTTTCGTTCAGTTGATGTGGCACCCATTTTCCTTCCTTTAAAGTCTTTCCCATTGCTTGTAAACGATTGGAAACTGTTTGCTGAGCAACGTTTACTCTTTCTGCAAGTTGTTTTTGAGTTTGACATGCATCTTTATCCAATAATGCTTGTAATTGTTGGTCTTCAAACTTTTTTGGTTGACCTGGATGTTCTTTGTCTTTCACATCGATATCATTACTTTTAAAGCGTTTAAACCAGCGTTCACAAATACCTTGAATGGAGCATGTTCACCATAAGCTTCCCAAAGTATTCAGCAGCACTTTTCTTCAAAATAAAGTAATGAATTAAACTTGCCGCAAAAGCTCTTTTTTTGGCACAAAATTAGACATTTTTAAGCGTAAAAATATCTATGATATTAACACCTTCAGCAAATTTGACATTGACATAGGAAGTTTTGAAGCTTGTCAGTACAACAAAATAGGATACATATCAAATCGCGTATATATCAACATATGTGTAACTCCATCTATTGAAAAAAAATCCGCATTATTAACTGCTATAGTAAGCAATCTGTAAGTGAACACAAGCAGAGTAAAAATGTTAATGAAATGTAATTTTGGCCACCCCATTTCTGTATAATGCTGCATTGGATTCTTGTTCTTTAGTGCAAGAACATGAGAATCTCAGTGATTAGGGAATCAGATCCAGGATAATAGAGGGGAAGGAAGCTGCACTTATCAGTATCTACCTTTAGGAAGTTTTAAAATTGTATCGTCTGGACTATCTCATATAGGCTTCTCTCCATTTTGCAAATAACGTTTAGGTCAAAACAAATTATTTTGCTATTTATTTAGCTCCTAAATACCAGTGCCATTATTCAAATTAAAGTATTTTCAACTGTAAAGCTTCCTACTGCATTGCTTTACCAGAATCAAGGTATAAAACATAATCAAGTTCAGTTTCCTATACATTTAAATGTTTGAGCTATTAACAAGGACTCCCAAATCTAACTCCTGGCATGTGTGTCAGCATCTTTTGGGAGAATTTTCATTCTTAGCCAACTTCACTGATTACTCTGATGCTCATCAAGGTTGGAAATCATTGACTTGCTAGGTAGAATTGGTGTTCTCATCACATCTTCCCAGGTTTGGGTCAAGTTAGGGAAGTATTTTTTCCTAGCAACTTGGAGGATGCACCACATATAGTAAGCATTGCATTTGTAGAATGAATTTGTTACTGAAAGTGAAAATAGATGAGGGATATTTGATAGGTAGATATTTGGTGTTTGTGAGACAAATACAATAAAAATGATAGTAAAAAAATGTTTTTTTTAATATCCTCATAAAGAGTGGCATAGTACAATTTAAAATATTTCTATGTTGATTCTTTGTAGGTTGGAATTTATCTTTTGGAAGACGGCCTAGCAAAACTAGACTTTTTGAGTGATGCAAATTCAAGAATGAAAAAGTTCAATCAACTCATGAAGAAAGTGATGGAAAAGTTATACAATTTTATTATTCCAGGTAATTTTTAAAGTAAGCTTAAAAATTGCTGTTACTTAAGAGTTGTGGTTTCCCCCCGCCACACTCCTGTACATAACAACCAGAAAAGACAGCTAATAAAACCATAATAAAAATTAAACAACCTCCATAAAATCTCTATCTGACAAAATTATACTTTTATAATTTTACTAATATAATTTGTGTCCTTATTTACTTTTTACTGTGCTTAGCTTATAGTAAATTTTTTTTCATGTTATAGTAGGCACAAATTTTCCACATGGCAGTTGTGTCCAAAAATGAATCTGATATTCTTACAAATTTGTATTATTGACTTACATACTTACCTCCTGATTGGCTACAGGTGCTACCAAATGCCTTTTTTTAACTAAGATAGACTGTGGGAACTCTTGCCTTTTTAGACATAGAGACATTATGTCTCATGTGGATATTTTTATATGAATATATAAAAGTGAAATAAGTTTTCCTCCTATAAACTGCAAAAGGTATTTACATTCAGTTCCTCAGATGTTTATTAAATATCTACAATGGGCAAAGCATGTGCCAGCTCTAAGGAGCTATAAAAACAAAAGGCAGGCTTTGCCTCAAAGAACATTACAGTTCAGTGTAGAAGGGACAAATACACATATGTACATGGTTGCACTACCTGACAGAATGCAATTCATTGCTCTATCCAGAGTATAAGGGTATTGCATGAACACAGAGGAGAACATCATTCTAACCATGGGAGAAAAAAACATGCCATGGTAAAAGTAGCACCTGAACCATCTTGAAGGATGGATGGGTAGATTTTTGATTCATGAAGAATTAAGGGTAGGGCCCTCCAGTGACAAAACACACTGATTAAATCCTCAGAGTTGAGAGAGTGCATGGTGTGTCTTTGAAATAAGAATTGCTTGTAACTATAAAAGGTAAATCGGGTTGTTTTGAGCACCTTGTTATTGGATATACAGATGTGTTGGAAGAGGATGAGGAAGATTCAGAGAGTGAGCCAGAGGGACAGGACATTGATGAGCTCTATCACTTTGTGAAGCAAACACATCAGCAAGAAACACAGTCCATTCAAGTGGATGTCCAGCATCCTGCATTGACTCCTGTGTTGAGACCTTACCAAAGAGAGGCTGTCAATTGGATGCTACAACAAGAGCATTTCAGAAGTACTCCCGTTAGTGGCAAGTATAAGATGCTTCCAGAAAGGCAAATTGATAAGAGGGATTATAAGAGAGAGTGTGTGTGTG